CGATAGAAAATGATCATTGATCCGTCCTATTTATATACAGTCAATAGTAACATAGACAGGAGGATGCATTTCTTTAGAAGTGCTTGCTTGCATCAATCTGAACCTACATTAGTGAAGAAGTAGTGCAGAACTACAGAAATAGATTAAACCGAATCACTAACTGCCATTCAGTTTATCCTTCATCAGTTTCGATTCGAAAAAACAACTTTATTCAGTATTGCGATCCCAGAACCTGTTTTTGTTGTGTTAAAACTACAATGCAACGTGTTTTAATGACTTCATTTGGCTCTACAGCCTGACTTATCATCTGCTTCTTGGTGTTGTTTCAAGTTTTTAAATGAGCTGCAGCTCATTTAAGGTTTGCCTGTTTAAACCAAACTTTAGAAGAAGAAGCCGATTTCTTATTGTGAATTTTTAACATCTACAGATCACTTCTTCCCGAACAAGCCACCAAATCCTTTGTGTTTATTACACAGTTGTTGTTAACACTGTTTTCATAGGAACTTTCTGTTCAAGCTAATTGGGGCCTTGATTACACCTGGGACAAGCAGTGAAGGAAATTACTGCAATTAAAAAAAAATTAAAAACAGCAACAGTGCTCTGAATGCTGCCCATATTTGTCTTTTGTACCAGAAACAAGTTTACATGTGTGCATTTACTTCAACAAGTCCCATATTTCAGGTTTAGATCATGCTGCAATAGAATATCAGCAATAGAATAGAAGGGCTATTCTATTGCTGCTCTTAAACTCCTTTATAGCAATATTGTCCAGAAACTGTGTGGGGAAAACAGTAAAAAAAACCCTGATGTTTCTGATTATCAATATTAATAATTATAATATAGGATAAAATCAGTGGCGGATCATTTGAAGCTTTTCTTTTTCTCCTAAAACTAAACAAAGCATGTATTGCTTAATCCAACAGGTCTCCAACAGGTGCTTTTGCAGAAACTTTAAAAGCTTTAACAACATTTTGCGTGCATAACAACCTCCTACAGGTCACAACTAACATTTCAACCACATACGGCAAACAGTTGGATCCTTCCCCCATCTGACATAGTGCTGACATTTATTTATTCACTTAATAAATAAATCCCTCAAGTTAATTAGACCTCATCCTCAATATAATGTACCCTCCACACCACTATTAATCAATGACCACAACAACAGATTTAAATTATAATCATGAATTTTCTGACTTGCAACAAACCAGACAGTACTAGCTTCACAGGAGTACTAGATAAAGAGATTAGCCTCTACTCTTAACCCCTAGGTTACTTTAACCACAGGTTAAAGTTTACATGAGTACACGACTGTCTGCTTGCGTTCACGTGGTGTAAATTCTATCAGTCCTGAGCCCGAGGCTCTGTGGGGACATCCACGGAGACACTGCACCAAAATGCACCAACTGCTAAAGCAACACCGATACACTGTTAAACTTTTAACATTTTATTCCTCTCCTTTTTTTATGGTTGTGATTTTAAAATCTGGATGTCAAACCCAGAACCATCTGTGCATAAGGTGAATGTGTTAACTACACTATGAAGCCAATGATGTCACCAAGAGCCAATATTAGGAAAAACTGAGTATTTAGAGTACTCTAAAGCCTGAATTTTTTTGGCTCACATGGATCACTTGTACATATACTGAAGCTTCAGTCAGGTCTGAAGACCAGTCAGTCACTACATGGCAACCACCAGATGGCTTCCGATTGTCCAGCATTTTTATGACAAGGGTTACATTGTCGCCTCTTTCTTTGGCAACGAGAAAGAACTCTGAAAGGTTTGGTGCTTTCATTAGTGATGACATGTAGCTCAACAACTTCAGGTAAACTCTTAAGTTTTGTCTGTTTTAATTTGTCTTACTTCCTCTGAAACAGAGCGCTATTTAAATATTAAATTTAAAAAAAAAAAAAAACATTAAAAACAAAACACTTCCTGATGCTTAGGCATCACACAATCAAATGTGATTTTGGCACATTTTTTCTGGACAACCCTACACCCACATTTCCACCTTTGGAGTATAACAGGAATGACTACTTTACTAACAATGATGTCAGGAGATGATAAAATCCTGTTAAGAAACAGCACAGAGTGAATT